TTTCTAGACTCCACACATAAGTGAAGTCATATAGTATCTGTCTTTCTCTGTCTGACTTATTTTATTTAGCATAATACCCTCTAGGTCCATCCATGCTGTTGCAAATACAAGGATTTCCTTCTTTTAATGACTGAATAATATTCCATTGTGTGTGTATATACATCACATCTTTTTTATCCCCTCATCTTTCGATGGACATTTCGATTGTTTCCATATCTTGCCTATTATAAATAATGCTACGATGAACATAGAGGAGCATATATCTTTTCAAATTAGTGGAAGTGGAATTGATAGATTGTATGGTAATTCTCTTTTTAATTTTTTGAGGAACCTCCACACTGTTCTCCATAGTGCTTTTACCAGTTTACACTCCCACCAACAGTGCTCAAGTGTTCCCTTTTCTCCACATCCTCTCCAACACTTGTTATCTGTGGTCTTTGATAACAGCCATTCTGACAGGTGTGAGGTATCTATCCTTGTGGTCTTGATTTGCATATCCCCGATGATTAGTGATGTTGAGCACCTTTTCATGTGTCTGTTGGCCATCTGTATGTCTTCTTTGGAAAATGTCTATTCAGGTCCCCTGCCCAATTTTTAATTGGGTTGATTGTATGTTTGTTTGTTTGTTTTTGATGTTGGGTTGTATGCATTCTTTGTATATTTTGGATATTAACCCCTTATCAGATATATCATCTGCAAATATCTGCTCTCAGTAGACTGCCTTTTCGTTTTTTTAAAATTTTTATTGGAGTATAGTCGCTTTACAATGTTGTGTTAGTTTCTACTGTACAGCAAGCCCAGAGATAAACCCACACACCTATGGTCACCAAATCTGTGACAAAGGAGGCCAGAATACACAATGGAGCAAAGAGAGCCTCTTCAATAAGTGGTGCTGGGAAAACTGGAGAGTTACATGTAAAAGAATGAAATTAGAACACTCCCTAAAATACAAAAGTAAACTCAGAATGGATTAGAGACCTAAATGTAAGGCCAGACACTAAAACTCTTAGAGGAAAACATAGAACACTCTTTGACATAAATCACAGCAAGATCTTTATTGACCCACCTCCTAGAGTAATGAGAATAAAAACAAAAATAAACAAATGGGACCTAATGAAGCTCAAAAGCTTTTGCACAGCAAAGGAAACCCTAAACGAGACAAAAAGACAACCCTCAGAACGGGAGAAAATATTTGCAAATGAAGCAACGGAAAAACGCTTAATCTCCAAAATATACAAACAGCTCATGCAGCTCAATATCAAAAAAACAAACAGCCCCATCAAAAAATGGGCGGAAGACCTATATAGACGTTTCTCCAAAGAAGACATACAGATGGCCAACAAACACATGAAAAAATGTTCAACATCACTAATTATCAGAGAAATGCAAATCAAAACTACAACGAGGTATCACTTCACACCGGTCACAATGGCCATCGTCACAAAATCTACAAATAATAAATGCTGGAAAGGGTGTGGAGAAAAGGGAATCCTCCTACACTGTTGGTGGGAATGTAAATTGGTGCAGCCACTACGGAGAACAGTATGGACATTCCTTAAAAAACAAAAAATAGAACTATGATGTGACTCAACAATCCCACTACTGGGCATATATCCTGAGAAAACCTCCCCTGGTGGTGCAGTGGTTAAGAATCCACCTGCCAATGCAAGGGAAACAGGTTCAAGCCCTAGTCCGGGAAGATCCCACATGCTGCGGAGCAACTAAGCTCATGTGCCACAACTACTGAGCCTGCACACCACAGCTACTGAAGCCCGTGCACCTAGAGCCTGTGCTCCGCAACAAGAGAAGCCACCATAATGAGAAGCCCGTGCTCCGCAGAAAAGAATAGCTCCCACTCGCCCTAGAGAAAGCCTGTGCGCAGCAACAAAGACCCAATGCAGCCAAAAATAAATAAATAAGATAAATTTTACAAAAAGACACATGCACCCCAATATTCATTGCAGCACTATTTACAATAGCCAGGACATGAAAACAACATAAATGTCCATCAAGAGAGGAATGGATAGGGCTTCCCTGGTGGCACAGTGGTTGAGAGTCTGCCTGCCAATGCAGGGTACGCGGGTTCGTGCCCCGGTCCGGGAAGATCCCACATGCCGCGGAGCGGCTAGGCCCGTGAGCCATGGCCGCTGAGCCTGTGCGTCCGGAGCCTGTGCTCCGCAACGGGAGAGGCCACAACAGTGAGAGGCCCGCATCCAGAAAAAAAAAAAAAGAAAGAAAAAAGAGAGGAATGGATAAAGAAGATGTGGTATATATATACAATGGAATATTACTCAGCCATAAAAAGGAACGAAATTGGGTCATTTGTAGAGACATGGACGGACCTAGACACTGTCATGCAGAGTGAAGTAAGTCAGAAAGAGAAAAACAAATACTGTATATTAACATATATGTGGAATCTGAAAAAGTTGATGTAGACGATCTTATTTACAAGCAGAAATAGAGGCACAGATAAAGAGAACAAATGTATGGATACCAAGGGGGAAGGGGGGGTAGGATGAATTGGGAGATTGGGATTGTCATATATACACTATTGATACTATGTATAAAATAGATAACTATTGAGAATATACTGTATAGCACAGGCAACTCTACTCAATGCTCTGTGGTAACCTAAATGGGAAGGAAATCATGTTGACTTTTAATGTAATGAAACATATATTTTAACCTATGTTTTTCTCTAATGATCAAACAAGACAATGCCTTTTGCCTACCCTGCGATTAAAGTAAGAAATTGAGCATGTTTTTACTTTACTTTAGCTTTTTTTATCTTACCTTAAAATATATTAGGAACCAATCTATTATAGACCCAATGACACAAAGGTTTTTTTTTAATTCATGTTTTTTTCCAAAAACATTTTTTAGCTTATGTATTTAACTCTGGAACTAATTTTTTAAAACACATAATTATTCGTAGGCTGATTCACATGGACCATCAATCCTTTTATATCTTGACTTCCTTATTTTCAAGTTATTACTTTTAATTCTTTTTCATGTCCTATTGAGTAGGTCTGTGAATAATTTTTAAGGAAGGCCATGGGAGTAAAATTGCTTCTGATTCTTAGATTTCTGAAGATATCTTTCCACTGCTTGTACTCATGAATTAAATTTGGTTTGGAATGGTATGCTTAGATCATGAGTTTCCTCTTTAGAGGAGTAGGTCTTACTCCATTTGGAGATGGTGAATAAAGATTTAAGTTAAGCTTGTGTTTTCCATTTGTTGATAAACTACTATTTTCTGTCTGGTTGCTTTAATGAAATTCTCTTTACTCTGGATTTGCAAGCTATATCCAGGTATGTTTATTTTCCTATTAAAATCTTGATTTTGTTTTTACACTAAGAAAAATATATTTCTTTTGTGTTGGTTATTATATTTCCGCTCCTTTTGTTCCAACATTTTCAGGAATATTTCAGGAATATTTCTTATCCATGGGTTGTATTTCTACTATTTTCACTCTGTGTTGATTATCATCTCATGCCATTTCATCATTTTTTAAAATTAATTAATTAATTTTTAGCTGCGTTGGGTCTTCATTGCTGCGCGCGGGCTTTCCCTAGTTGAAGCAGGTGGGGGCTAATCTTCACTGTGGTACACGGGCTTCTCATTGTGGTGGCTTCTCTTGTTGCAGAGCATGGGCTCTAGGCGCGCAGGCTCAGTAGTTGTGGCTCACAGGCTCTAGAGCACAGGCTCAGCAAATGTGGCACACGGGCTTAGTTGCCCCACAGCATGTGGAATCTTCCTGGACCAAGGCTCAAACCCGTGTCCCCTGCATTGGCAGGTGGATTCTTAACCACTGCATCACCAGGGAAGTCCCCATGCCATTTCATCTTTATCCTTTACTTCTACAGTCTTGGAAAGCTAGTTCATAGATTACATTTTCTCCATTGTTAGTTCTACTTATAAGTGCATCTTTGCCTTTGATCGCATCCTTCTCTTACTTTGGCTGGCTCCATGTTTGATAAGGGCAGGGAATGTGGAGAGACTTAAACCCACCTGGATGTGTCCTGGGCATCCAGCAGGAACTCTCCTCAGACCTACAATCGAAGGATGGAGTGGTTTGCACAAACCTGGCCCAACTTCCAGCAGGTACTCATCAGTCTCTCTGTTTCACAAGGTGGATTTTGACCATTTCTGCTCCCAAGGCTCTTCTGCCTCAGAGCATTTCCGAAGAGAATACCCATCCCCATGTGCCATTCATCCTCCTCCCGCTCTGTGTTGTACTGGGAGATGTGATCTTGGAATCAATATAAAAAGAGATGAACTGAAGGGGGAGAGTTTCATGGGACCCAATTCTGGTCCTCTTGGAACATAATTCCTTTGCAGAGGGGGAGCCGTGGTCTGACTTCAGGTTATGGTAGCCCTGAGGTCCTGAGCCTGGGTAGAAAGTGGGATAAGTAAAGCCTTCTCTTGGGGTCTTGTTGTCTATTCCATGTTGGGATTAGGAGATGAAACAGATATTGCTGGGGCGGGGGTGCTTCCTCTAACCAACCCCATTGGTATAGTACTTGGTGCAAATTCCCTCTAGATTTCTTATCAATGCTGATAAGAGGTTTTATGTTTTTGCAGAATGTCATGGGCATTTTAATAGGAAATAGAGTGCATCTCAGGCTAATTCAATGGTTAATTTTCGCATGTGCCTGATGCACCCAAACCCCAAGAAAACAATGTATTCGTTATTACATACAGACAATGACTCTTCAATTCCAATAAGGGTTAAAAATTACCCCACTCATCAACTCCCATGGCAGCCAAATGACAGTTGCAGGTAAAATTCTAAAAGATGCTGCACAAGAGATAATCACTAGCATCAGGGCCACCAAAGCGAGCAAGGCTGTCATGCAAAATGGCTTGTAGGAATTCTAGCCATTTCCAGAAGCTTGTAATTATGCTGACTCAACTTGTATTACATTTAGCAGATAGTTCACCAGCAAGAATATGCCTTAAACACCAAAAGGAAAACTATAACACAATGTATCTTTACCTTATAATAAATCCGGGCCACCAAACCCCACTGAAGAAACCTTTCATGAAAATTGACTGCTTTCAACAGAAAGGCGAGATTACCAACTGTGTCCATGTTAAACGCCAGGAAACTGAAGGAAAAACACAGTGACCATCATTATTATTTTGCCCTCACCAAAGGATTTCAATTTGAAAGAAATAGACAGGGTTTGTTTTTTCAAAAAGAATTTCCTCCCAATAGATAAGTAGTGTAAGTACATGTAATCATCCCCTTGCATCTCTTACTTGCTGTATTTTGTGCCTCTTCTGGCTATTTTTTGGATGAATGCTTGGATCTAGTTATTCTATGTGGTCCTCCTTGTGATATAAGGATAATTTGGTTTACTGCTTTTTCCACTTATGACTTTTTTAATCTTTTAAAGAATATTTTATTTAGCTTTTTAAAAAATTTTTTATTGAAGTGTAGTTGATGTACAATATTATATGTTACAGGTGTACAATATAATGATTCACAATTTTTAAAGGTTATACTCCATTTAGTTATTATAAAATATTGGCTATATGCCCTGTGTTGTACAATATATCCTTGCAGCTTATTTTATACCTAATAATTTATACCACTTACTATTGTATTATAATAGTGTTTAATATTTTACATAGTCTTCCTTCATTAACAGCTATATAATTTTCATGAAGTAGGTTTATAATAATTTACCCAACATTGTTGGACATTTGTTGTAAGAGTGATTATAAATGAATAGTAGTAGTCAAATATATCTGTCACAGAGTACTTGGCAATGAATAATATTTCTCAAATACATTATGTATTTATTGCTAACTATTGCTGTGAATTATTCAATAATCTCAATAATTCTGTGATGTGGATACTACAGTTAACCAATGTACAGTTGGGAGAATCTGAGGCTCAGCAAGATTCAGTAACCTGCTCAGGGTCACAGAGGCAGAACACGTTCAAGCTCAGTGTTCTCAGGGGATGCCTGTATTGAAGGGAAGAGGAGTCCCAGAGGGCAGTGAGAGGGGTGTGGACAAGCGCAGGGTAGAGTGTGTCACAGAGATGGTGACTTTCTTCAGCAGG